ATATATATATATTCAAAGATATGATACGGGTAATTCTATAGATCATTTTAATCCACATCTTTATGAATTTTAGAAAACAAAATATTCTTGAGTTTGAATAATATTATAGGACTCCACACATGCTCATAATACCTGAACAACATGAAAATAAATGACTTTCTTCATCTGGTACTTTTTGCTCTGATATAACAAAAGTAACACTTAGAGTAAATACAATTCAAAGAGTTCTCAGAAAAAATCTGGAGAGAGAGAGCGAGAGCGCGCGCAAGCACAATGGGACAATAATCAAACATGACAGATAAAGAAAGAAGAGAGTTCTTTGGCAGGAAATACCACCCCTTGAAGTGATTCTGAAAGTGTCTTCAATTCTCACTTTTCCTTCCCATTATTCTGTCTCTCTCTGGTTTTGCAAATAAATTTTAACTTTCTTCTTGGAATGGAATTCACCAATGTACATCACTAATTGACATTTTCTCAAGATCAGGATATTATAAAAACTCTCTCAAATATTAATTTATTTAAATAAAAGGAACAATCCTCATGCCACAGCAGGCTAAATTCTCACATATATAACCATAACAAATATGGTAAGGAGATTATAAGCCATCTAAGAGGAAGTCCTGCAGGCAACATTTTTTTCTTACTACTATCAAGTAAATTCTGACATGTAGACCACATTTTTTGGCCTCCCATAATTACCCAGTATTAAAGCTAATGAAAATTCCAATCAAATCATGGAAACTAAATTAACCACATTAAAGAACAAAATCTAGAATTTGGGAAAGATTTTTTGTCTAGCTAATATTCTAAAAGAGTGTATCAATAAAATTGGAAGTTATTCACAATTCAGGTTTTCTTTTATGATTACCATATATCATAAGACCTTCAGCTGGTTCATTCAATTAAGGATGTGTTATTCTATCCTCTTATCATTAAAGTGTTAGAGAAATAGAATTGAAAATAAAATTTCCTGGTAACTCTATAAATTTTTCCACAACATAATTATTTTTGCATGAGCATTAATGAAGGGAATAGCAAAGAGAAAAATAAATGTCACCTTTTTATAGAGTCAGGGAATAGAGTCCATATTAATTGACTTTAAAAGTGAACAATAAAATCTCACATGTATGACAAGAAGGAAGTGACAGCACACAACTAGGTGTCGAGGCTGGAGCTCCCAGATAGAAGAGCCTGGCACCGCGTTCACTTGTACAGAGGACGGCAAGTCTCCCATCAAGATGTCCCTGGAACACAAAATTGTCAGGAGGCTTATTTCATTTTAATATCTTCGTATACAAATCTCAATAGATTCCAAGGTATCTAATGGAAGTGCTAAAAAGAAGCAATCCAGGGTTAAGGGTTTAGGGGTATTTTCCTTTTAGCACCAAGAAAAAGTTACATTTGCTTTACATATTTTAGACGTGTTTAGTCTCACACCAGTGAAGATTTGAGAAGTGAGGCATAATTTAGTGCATGTGTCATTTGGCTTGTGGGAACTAAGAAAATACTATGTTAGAAGTTTCAAGATGATACTGCAGAATATATTTTTTAATAAAAATGTATTTTAGTGTGCAAAAACCTTTTTGTGACTGTTTACAAGTGTAGTCTCATGTAATATGTATTCTTTCATGTTCAACCTATTTCACTCAGCATAATGTCCCCAAGATTCAACCATCTCATGAGTGGTTATGCCCGCTCATCCTCATCCTTCTTTACTGGTGTGTCGTGTCCCACCGTGTGTATGTGCCATCATTTATTAATTCACTCTTCCATCTATGGGCATACTGGCTGTTTCCATCGTGTGCTAATATTCATGGTAGTGTGATAAACAGGAGTGAGCATCAGTGTTCATTAATGGCGGTCAGAGTTAGGAAGCGGGAAGGAGAATGGATTCTTAGCTAGAAGAAGAAGTGGAGGAAGAGGAAAGTAATACCCCATAAGCAGAGCATCAACAAGAGTAACGAACGCTGATGAAGATGCTGGGTGAAGTGCAAAAGTTAAAGGCAACTAAGTTAAATATTGTGTTTTTTAATTCTATAGTAATTGTGTTCTATAAATAGATGCCTGAATAAGCACCCAAGCTGAACGAGTATGGCACAGAGAATGGGAAAGTGTGTGTGTGTGTACTTATATTCTTAAACTTAACACCATCAGATCAATGCTAATTCATAGAGACCCCCTGTGGGTTTCTGAGACGATAATTCTAGAAACCTGTGTCTTTCTCCCATGGAGCTGCTGGTGGTTTTGAACTGCAGACCATGAAGATCCCAGCCCAATGCATAATCACCACACCACCAGGGCGCTCTCTCTCACCTCTCTCTCTCTCTCTCTCTCTGTTTTGCAGTGGACATTTGTATATATGTATTTACCTTTGCTACAAAAACATCCTTGAATGTGATGGCGCATACAATGAGCCTGGTTACAAAATCCTCCAAGATAGAACCAAACCCCTTGAGGAAATGAGTCCTGGGCATGGAGGCTCAAGACCATAGTCTTGGGGAACACCAAGATCCACTGGCATAACAAAGAATGCAAAGATACATGTCTCCATTTTACTTTATGAGTAATGGGTGGAGAATTAGAAGCTCTCGAACAGCCATGTAAGGTGCAATCATTGGTCTCTCAAAGTGCAGAGAAGATACACGAAAACCATTATTTCATTGCATTAGTGGACCATGAAAATATTGTTCTTCACAAGCCTGAGATCAAAAGAATTAAATGGTATCTGGCAACAATTACCAACTACTCTTAAAAGGATCATGTTAAAAGGTCCTGGATAGAGTGGGGGAAAAGTGTGGAACCAAACTTAAAGTCATAAAAAGACCAAGCTTACTGGTTAAATAAAGACTTGTAGAACCCTGACAGCTATAACCATATCCACCGTTCAGTTCTGGAAATGATCTCACACCTATGTCTTAATACCACATAAAAATGACAATATGTCCAACAGTAACACTAGAGAGGGATTCAGAGTTCAGAAGGTTTAAGGAAGAAGGAAGAACTTAATTACGAAAAACCTGGAGGAAGGGTGTGGGGATTGGTATCAATGACAAGGTTGCAATCAATGACAGGGAAACAAAATGCATATGGATTGTTGAGTGGAAAATTGATTTGCTCTTTAAACCTTTACCCAACTCACATAAAGTTGTTTTAAAAGCAGGTAGAATAAAAGGACAAAACTGAAATGGATAGGTTTTGGTGTATCAGTTGATTCTGAATCAGAGCACCAAAGTTGATCTGTTGCATAGAGTTCTTCAGATGTCTCTCTCTGTCCGTCTCGATGGGAACTAGGCCCAAGGTCTTTCCTTCCGTGCCACTCCTGCTAGATTCAGAGCATGACCTTTTAGTTAGCAGTGGGGACATTAACCACTGTGCTCTGAGGGCTCCTTTGAGAAAGATATGAAGATGTGATAAGCACAATTATAACTCTTTCCAGAAAATATCATTTTGCACTGTAAGATCTGTCAGTGGAATGTTTGATACAATATAGTTGACGCATTGCCTATAGATGTATCTTTTGTTGTCTACTTTATTTTCTGCCATGTATCTTGCTTCACTCCTTGCTCTTGCTCAGAAAACCGAGTTTGTCTTGGTACTGAAGCTCAAAATATTGGTATCTACAAATTCACCACTTTAAAAGTTATATGCCACAAGACTTTATTCTAAACACATTTTTAAAATATAGTGGGTCTTCTTCAGAGTCCAGAAGAACAGATTCATTTAAATAATGGTGTTGCTGAGGAATTGCTGTTAAGTACCACTGAATCCATCCCAACTCACAGGGACCCTAAATACAACAGAACAGAACACTTTCTGGTTATTTGTCAATCACGTAAAGGTCCAAATTATGAGTATTAAGTATACCGTAGCCTGCAGAGGAATGAGCAAATCTATCTTGGAAGAGATACAGACAAGATGTTCTTTATAAGCTATATGACAAAATTTTATCTCACAGAATTTGAATATGTTATCAGGAAGGTCCAGTTTCTACATATATATCTATATAGAGAGATAGACTTCCGTAAGTAGAAGGTTTTGACAAGAAAGAGGAAGACCCTTAAAGAGATGGATTCACACATTAACTACAACAATCAGCTCAAACAGCAAAAATTGTAAGAATTGTGCGAGACCAGGCAGGGTTTCATTCTGTTGTACGTAGGATCCACCGTGAGTCAGAACTGGTTATAGAGCACCTGATGACAGTAACTCTAGATTAAATTCTTCTACCAATTTGGACACTAACTTTTCATTGAGTCTTTTTTTTCTCCCTCTTTCCATTCTTGACAGACTTTACACCTAAAGTCTCATTTTCTCCTTTTTTATGACATGTTACTTTGTTTTCAAAGTTGTAACAACAGTATTATGAATGTCAGAGGAAACAGGAGAGAAAAATTGAGCATTACTGAATGAGACTTTATTTTAGACTAGGTTCAGAGAGATTACTTGGTATTGAAATATGCTATTATGGGTGAAAATTATCTATGACATGACTAGCCTATGCTATAGATACTGTCTCATAGGATTGATGTAACTACCAACAATGTGAAAGAAGGCTGAATTATAATCCTATAATCCTTGCTATTTATTTATTTTAAATCTTCACAGTATTCAAATGCTTTTCATCATCTTTTAAAATGAAGTTCTGTGAAACTTGAAATATTAAAAAATGCATTCTTAATTTTTTTAATGTTAAGATTTTCATAGATGATAATTTTCAGTTCAAAAGCAAGCTGAGGATCTATGATTGTTTAAAATATGGTACCGTGTCTCAGAGATATGAGAGACTTAGTTAAATATATGCAATGGCATTTGACTGTAAGCCTTGACCTTTAGATTCTATAGCTTTTCCCTTTGTTACATTAGCGCATACTCTTGTAAGTATATAGCCTAGATTTTTGTTTAAGCCAAGAAAAGATTAATAAGCACACTATCTCATAATTTGTATGCAAAAAATGTGTACAGATCATTCACCTGGCCCATCTTCTATCCTTCTCTGTTAGGTTGACTGGGAGCTTTGTGCCGGACTTGACCGTGAGCATGAGCAGCCAAATGTGGCTGCACCTTCAGACAGATGAAAGTGTTGGCTCCGTTGGCTTCAAAGTTAACTACAAAGGTAATGATGAATGGCTACTGTGGAAACAGATTATCTTAATACCACCAGAGAATGCTTTTACATTCAAGTGTAATCACATCTAAATATACCAGTTTTCCAGCATATAAGCAATTCCAATATAATAATGTCTTATATATTAACAACAGATGTTGATTCTACTTTTCAAAAAGTTTATTTTCTCATTAATGTGTGCCTATTTAGCATATCTTATTTCTTAATAATCCACCATACTCTCTGTGTGTTTCATCTACTCTGGACTGCTTATCTGTCCCAGAATTGAACATGCAATTATATGTACTTTATACTGCTGTTCTGGCTAAAATATTCTAGTTATTAAATGTATGATTAAATTACTAAATTCCCCCTAAAATTCTAGGATAGGGGTTATTTATCAGTGATTCTATCTAGTGCAATACATGGTCCCAATGTTAGATTATTGAGTTCTACATAACTATGCAGCCACGGTGGCACTGGGTAAGCGCTGGACCATTCATCACCAGGACAGCTGCTCCAGGGCAGAAAGATGGGGTTCTTTGATCTGATAAAGATTTGCAGCCGAGTTCTGCTTTGCATTTATGTGGTCACTATGTGTTGGACTTGCCTCCCCGATAGTGGAGGTTCTGGTTATTTTTTGGTATGTAAATAATGGATAACCAATGTACCGAATCAATGCTGCCCACCCTGGTGTTCTCAGTGACACAGATTAAGGATCCATTACCTCTATATGGTGAAGTCTTTGGTTCCATCTCCATTTATAAGAGATGCAAGCATTGTTATATCGTAAGTAACTTGGACACATGTTTATCCTTCATTAAAGTCAAAAGGGATAACAAGCATACACACATAGCTTACATATTATCAATATAAATTTGAGTTCTATGTGAAAATATGTAACTTTTAATAAATTACAACCAAAATCTATGCTTTTAAAATAGAAAGCATAAAATCAATCTCTCAAAGTATTGCATTGCTTGAAATTACATTGATCAATGTCATGGTGGGATTTATGTGACTTTATCTCATTGGTGTAGATATTTTCTACTTATGTAATAATAATTTTTAATCAAAATTTCTTCTTTCAAACACTGATTCCCCAAGTCTTTGTATCTAGACCTACAAAGAATAAATGCATGATATTGTTAGTGAGGCCAGATGCACAAATTCTGCATTGGGAATGTGTGCCTGAATTTGAACATATTATATATTCATATGTGTTAATTTATACAGTTCAAAAATTGATGTAAATGTCAGTTAAGACCAAAAGGAGCAACAAAAACTCAACCTTAGTATAATTTAAAATATAACTCTTCTTCATTTTAAACCTACATGAATTCCTTAGCAGATAAAACAAGGTTGCAAATTTTAAAGACGTTTAAAACTCATGTTGAAAGCATCTACTTCTGATCCCTTGCCTCTCTAAATCACTCAGTGACTCTGCCGTTCTTATATTCCTATTGGTTTTTATTATTTCCTTTACCTTGTGGAGGTTGCCTTTCAGGAAATCTAGAATCTCTTTACCTTGGAAACGATATTAATCATTAATGACAATGTTCCAACAAAGAACACAGTTATTAAAGCTCATAAACAGGTTGTAGCAGCATGGGAGTTCTAGAGTTATTTACATAGCTCTTCACACTGCAGTTCAAGAACTGAAAATACATTGGGAAGGAGCACAATTAAGCATTATTTTTTTGGCAATTTTTTCTGCTTCTTTTCCAACTTTGGTAATTCAAAACATCTTTCCTAAGGATCTTCTTGTGTGCCTGGCACTAAATGAGTTGTTGGATGTAGAAAAAGTAGCTAGATACCCTTTCTACCAGGAAGATCACCGGATACAAATAAGGAACAGAAAATACACAGCTATTGAAGCGCGAGTATTTAGAGAGAAGAAATTTGAAACCAACCTAGGAGATTCTTAATGAATAATGCCCTCTTCTCCCTTGCTTCAGACTTGTCTCTGTCTATGTATTCTCCACACTGAGTGCTTGTTATACTCATGTTTACGTTATTTCCGTGACTCCCACTGTCTAGAGATAAAGTTCATAACTTCCACAGATTTTCCCTGATACATGCTTTTACCATGCTACTGTCTTTCTCCCACACCCAAAGGGCATGGACTGATCCCCAATTCTCTGAACCCAGGATACTCTTCATTCTTTCATTTCTTGGATATTAAATACCTTACAGTGAACCCTCGCCACTTTGCGCTTTGACTTCCGCGGCTTCACAATATCGCGGTTTTTGCGTAACAGTGCATGCTCTGTCATTACTGCCACTGATTGGCTCATACTGTATACGCTTCTGTCTGCATCGCTACGTATCGGAGCTACGTATCAGATGCATTTTTGCTTTTGTACAGTGTACTGTAATTGTGATTTTTAAGAAATTTTATCTAAGCCCTATGATGCTTCCTAAACGAGCTGCTTCTTCTAAGCCTTCTGACAATAAAAATAAGCGCCAGAGGAAGATGCTCACCATCCAGGAAAAGGTAAAACTTTTGGATATGATCAAAGATGGCAAGAAAATCATGGAGGTTGCACGCCATTGATTACAGTATTTGTAAGAACTATGTATAATATTACTGTATGTGAAATATGTAATACTGTAAACTAGATGCCATAAATAATATAATAAATAATAAATGATAATTGTAACGTCCAAACTGTTTTACTGTATTTTCCCTTTTTCGTTTAATAAATTGGGTAATACGAGTGTAATGGTGACTAAAGGGTGTTTTTTCATGTCCTCTATGCTCTAACTACGAAAATATTTGATTTACAAATAAGGAATCCTACTTCGCGGAATTTCATTTATCACGGTAGGGTCTAGAACCGATTACCCGCGATAAATGAGGGCTCACTGTACATATTTATAGTTATACTAATTTTAACTCAGTATATGCTTCCCCTTCTTACAAAGTTAAAATAATCTCTCCTCTATGAAGTCTTTCTCAACTCCACCCATTACAGTAGACGGCTTTCTCTGCATTACAATTCCTGTACAACTTCTATAATAGGTACACAAGCAGGCAGAGACAAACCTAGTTGTGTTTGTATTTCTATTAACAACCACCTGCTATGTCATCATCGATGATTAAAAATTGATACTAAGCTGAACAAGTTATTTGATGATATATTATCATTCAATATACATTAAAATTATCCTCAGAAGTTTTCCATTGTTATTTTACCTATGACAATCACATTTTTACATTCTCCATAATTTATAACGTCAACTCTAAGTTGAAGTGAAGTGTATTTTGAGAAATTTGAAATAACCTCTGTTGGAAACTTCCTATAAAAGGATAATAACTTCGTTACTCTTGTGCAATGGGAGTGGGAGGAAGGGTTAGTGCCCAACTCGTCATCCTGCTCATCATTCCCTTCAGATCCAGAAGAGATCCTCCGGATGAAATAGCATAGCTTAATACCACTGTTCTAGCACTGTGACAGAGAGAACAAAGATTTATCTGTAAATACAAAGTAAAACATATTTGTCTGATTGAATGCCATTTTCTTTAGATTTTAGTCTTATCTTTGGAATGATATTTTTCTATATGTTTTGTATAAGGGCTATTTTAAAATATAAAAAAATCAAGCAAAATAAACTGAAGTGAAAAATAGTTACTATAAGTGCAATTAATTCTTTGATAAATTCAATAATGCTTTGTTAGTAATTCTTTATATAGATAGTACTGGGCTGTTTATTTATGCAATTAGAATCATGGATCAAATGCTACATGACTCTTGAAAATGATGTAATGCCCGTATGGGTGTACAGCGATTCAAGACCATCTCTACTCACAGATTTATGGATTTACCTAACCTATTGTTCACAAAATGACAATATTAATTCCTGCTGATAAGGAGGAATAAGCTAGATGTATATTTTTCCCCATATCCCATGGATACATTCGTTTTGTTGGACTGTTTTTAAATTGCCATTAGTTCTATTCATAATAACTAGAAAGGAAGCAAAAGAGGAAACAGTTGTTTGCAATAGGCACATTAGTATCCATTAGCCCCTCAGTACATTTTAATGGATATTTTCATCTTAGAAATCCTAAGGACCACAAAAGAGATAATTATTTCTAAAAGCCCTTTGTATTCCAACCATTCTGTCCACATTTCATCCACCCAGAGTCCTGGTGGCTGGTGTTACTTGTTGGCTAAAGTAAAGACAGAGGGGTTCGGAAATTAATCAGGCATTTGTATGTTATGTTATATTCACAGATAAGTCTTTGGCTTCTCATTCCAGTGTTAGAATGATGTTTTCAAATTGTTATTTAATGTATAGAGTTCTTTCAAGATTTGGAGGAAACGAGTCATAGTTTGACTAGTTTGATGTTAAGCCACAATCCCACTTCCATTTCCACACACACACAAACATATACACACTCATACATGCACACACACAGAACAAAATTCACATATGTTCATTTAGAAAATATTTGTTTATAAAATAAGTATCTTTATCATTCCTTGACAGACATAAAGATTCATATTTAGTCAGAGAGCTTAATTAAATCCATGGGAGAGGCACATAGTAAAAATTCTTTAGCCTTTATAGTATTAGAAAATTATTATATAATTATTTCCTCCTTTTAGAAAAAAGATGCTATACTGAATTTACTGACTTTCAATTTTGAGTCAGTTTGCATCCTCACTCAGCAAGATAATAAAACATGTATTCTCTGCTTACAGGTACCATGTTCCTTTTGAAGAATAAATATTGTCTCATTCTGTTATTTTGTTGTTATTATCCTCATTTTAAAGAGGAAGTAATTGAATCAAAAATATTATTTGTTTGACATCAAATGATAATAAGTGGAAGAGTTAAAATTTGACATGGAATTCTGTTATTTTAGACTAATGCCTTTAACAAACTTTATGTTAGGCCCATAAATCTTAGCTTAAAGTTAATTTTTTAGTCTTCTAAATATTGATATAATTCTGAACTAAAGTGCACAACTAGATTTTAAAATTTTGATGAAGCCACCT